GCATGTTATGTAGATGTTAGTAGTGGCCAAAATAAGCCTGTTTCGTCAAAATACTATATTACGTTCATTCCCAAGGTAAGCTCAAGAACACACCGATCGGTGGGTGTGTTCTCGAGATCTTAGGTATTAACGTAGTAAGTGTGTCGATGACATTGGAAAACATATTAAAGACAATTTAAAAAATCGAGCATCCAAGTTTATATGTTATCCCTAGCATTGCATGAAAGCACAGATTTAACAGATACCGCGAAATGAGCGATTTCAAAAAAAGAGACAAATTGGCGGTGCTGTATCCAGTTAAGGACACTACCTTCTCACCAGATTTGAAGCTGTTACATCGACATTGAATCGATTTTCGTTACAACTCGACAATCTGTCAGTTTTAACAACATATGGTGCTCCAGTAATGTTTGGACAACATAGTTGACAATACAAAGTTGATAATACTTCGATGCTAAATTTTCATTGCATTATTCATCAGGAGTATTTATGTGCAAAGTCCCTTAAAATGGATCATGTCACGAAGGTGGTCATCAAAACAGTGAACTTTATTAACTCAAAAGGGTTGAACCGCAGTTTTAAGAGTTTCTTAAGTCTTTGGATTTACAGTATGATGCTGTTACATGTTGTGCAGAAGTAAGATGGCTGAGCCATGCCAAAATGTTAAAAGGAGTGTTTGATTTGAAGGAAGGTATTTTTTTAATATTTATTATAAATCAAAATTAAAAAAAAGTAAACATACTTTTATTTATTATTAGATACATAAGTCACAGATGTACCCATCTGGTGAATTCCGTCCTGAACATATGGCAGGAGTCCACAATCCGCAGATGGTGCAGCGATACCACAACTCATTATTTTTTCCGAATTGTTATAATTATCATCCACATCTATTTAATCATCACCGTCATCGTCGCAAAGGTGCTTATCTTCATCTTCACTCTCTGATGAAATTCCTTGAAAAATTTTTCTTTTATAAGATTTTTTTTAACTAATAACTAATAACTGTTTTTGCTTCGGTTTGGATATTCCCTGTATAAGGCTAATAATGTCACTGCATCACTCCCAAGAAGAACTTTTCTTCAGTACATTTCGTTTAAGTTAATAAAACCACTGATGTTAATGCCACTAGACAACACTCACACATAAAGAGATATAAAAGAAAAAATTAAATTTCTTTTAAAAATAAATAAGGAAACTCCTAAAGAAGTTCCGACTCGATCTTCGGTCCTTGGGCGTTGTCATATATGTGGACGAGCAAGGAATAAGAGCACAAGAAATTGGAGCAGCAGCTGTGATCAGTGGACTTGCCCAGGACATTTATAGGTAATATGTGTACATTGCGCTGAGATAAAACAGAACATGAAGTCTGTTTCTGATCCGATTAAGATGTTATATTTAGAATATTATAGAACCTAGTTTCTATTAGTGTTTATTACAAATACATTCTTCAAGTTAACAGACAGACGACTGTATACATGGCCATCACCCGCAGATAAATCGGAGAAAGTAGTCAGGAACCAGATAGACTACATTATGATCAATGAAAGATACCGTAATGCTGTTAAAGCCGTGAAAGCATATCCTGGATCGGACGTGACTTCAGAACACAATCCACTTATCGCCAAGATTACACTCACTCTTAAAAGACATCAACGAATTCCTACAATAGAGCTGCATGTGAACTGCAACAAATTGAACACAAACACCTATGATATTGACGAGTACTGGGATCGACTAAAACATTGTCTACTGGAACCCTGGCAAGAAATATTAAAGGAGAAAATAAGAATTGATTAATGACGAGTATTTGGAAAAGTGTCAAGACTGATTTAAATATTTTATTTTTATTATTACGAATATGACCTTATTAGTTTTAAATCTTATTTAATCATAATAAATTAGCTAATTTTAATATGGCTTTAGTTTATCTTTTAAATTCTCGAACTCGAATTGGCTGATTAATTATTGTCAAGTTCTCAGAATTCACTTAATATTGTTCTGAAGCTATTTTCTTGTGGCATTGTAAATTAATTACTATTTATAACTGGGAATAAGCCACAATTAAAGATAAAAAATACGTTTATTGACGTTTCAATTTCCAATTCGGAAATCGTTCTCAAAATAATTTATTAATAATTATTTTGAGAACGATTTCCGAATTGGAAATTGAAACGTCAATAAACGTATTTTTTATCTTTAATTGTGGCTTATTCCAGTTATAAATAGTAATTAATTCAGAATTCACTTGTCTGAAAAACAACATGTTTTTGGGAAACATTTATCAACCCAAACACTTCAGAGTCCTTAAGGAAACGTACCCGTCCTTTGTGTAGAAAGTTTAAAATGTCATTTTAAGCTTAATTTACTGCTATTCACGGAGGTCCTAAGAACAGAAGAACACCTAGTGGATTCGTGTACATATGTATTTTTTTCCTATTATCGCCCCATTCTGCAACAACCTCTCGTCGGGAACGCAACAGCATCGAGTGTTCGTTTTCATCCCATACCCTGAGACCTTAGACTCCGAGCGGGGCCCAACCACAGACAAAGGGTAAGTGAATCTCATATTATAGAATTGACAAGTTATTAAATCTGCCATTGTTATTGAATTACATTATCATATTTGCTACAAATATTTGCTATTTTCGCTACTTTTATTTACAGTCAAAGTATTGCATTTTTTCTTCATTATTATTTATCAAATATCATTTAACCAGCGACCTCTTAAGTTTTGTACAAAACATTTGGTCACTTCTAGTCGATTAATAAATAATTGTAACCTTGATTCAACTAATTTTATTTGTTTCAATTAATTCATTTTAATTAATTGTTTTTGTTTATTTTCATTTTAAATCTGATTAGGTCCTTCGCGCAATATTTTTAAACTTAATTTACATAATTAAATTTGGTCATATTTACGTTACAATTTTTAAATTTACTTTTACTTTTATAATTTATAATATCAATTCACACATATATATATATATATATATATATATATATATATATATATATATATATATATATATATATATATATATCATTTATCACTTTTATGATTTATTAACGTTGTATTACATTTTTACATTTTTTTTGTGCTGATTTTTGTGAATTATTTTGATTCTACTTTTATCATACTTTCCAACTCATTCTCTACGACTTGCGTATTAATTTAAACACAGTTCTTTTGATTTCTTTTGTTGCTATACCTTGCTATAGAATTGACAATTACATTTTATTTTACATATATTTGCTACAAATATTTGCTATTTTCGCTACTTTTATTTACAGTCAAAGTATTGCATTTTTTCTTCATTATTATTTATCAAATATCATTTAACCAGCGACCTCTTAAGTTTTGTACAAAACATTTGGTCACTTCTAGTCGATTAATAAATAATTGTAACCTTGATTCAACTAATTTTATTTGTTTCAATTAATTCATTTTAATTAATTGTTTGTGTTTATTTTCATTTTAAATCTGATTAGGTCCTTCGCGCAATATTTTTAAACTTAATTTACATAATTAAATTTGGTCATATTTACGTTACAATTTTTAAATTTACTTTTACTTTTATAATTTATAATATCAATTCACATATATATATATATATATATATATATATATATATATATATATATATATATATATATATCATTTATCACTTTTATGATTTATTAACGTTGTATTACATTTTTACATTTTTTTTGTGCTGATTTTTGTGAATTATTTTGATTCTACTTTTATCATACTTTCCAACTCATTCTCTACGACTTGCGTATTAATTTAAACACAGTTCTTTTGATTTCTTTTGTTGCTATACCTTGCTATAGAATTGACAATTACATTTTATTTTACATATATTTGCTACAAATATTTGCTATTTTCGCTACTTTTATTTACAGTCAAAGTATTGCATTTTTTCTTCATTATTATTTATCAAATATCATTTAACCAGCGACCTCTTAAGTTTTGTACAAAACATTTGGTCACTTCTAGTCGATTAATAAATAATTGTAACCTTGATTCAACTAATTTTATTTGTTTCAATTAATTCATTTTAATTAATTGTTTGTGTTTATTTTCATTTTAAATCTGATTAGGTCCTTCGCGCAATATTTTTAAACTTAATTTACATAATTAAATTTGGTCATATTTACGTTACAATTTTTAAATTTACTTTTACTTTTATAATTTATAATATCAATTCACACATATATATATATATATATATATATATATATAATATATATATATATATATATATATATATATATATCATTTATCACTTTTATGATTTATTAACGTTGTATTACATTTTTACATTTTTTTTTGTGCTGATTTTTGTGAATTATTTTGATTCTACTTTTATCATACTTTCCAACTCATTCTCTACGACTTGCGTATTAATTTAAACACAGTTCTTTTGATTTCTTTTGTTGCTATACCTTTCGTTAGTTTCCTTTTTATTGATACTTCCCTTGTTTTTTCAGAATTAGGTCTGAAACCAAGTAGCGCATTTATCTTCTTTCAATCTAGGGCATTTCTTTAGTGTTCGATTTGCTTAATTTTGTTTGCATTGTCCTTTTTTGTCGCGTCTTTTATCTTACAATGTCCAGCAAAATAAACAAAGCCAAGTTGGTGCACCAAACAGCGTATTCTAGATTGAGGGAAGCCCATGAGGCAGGCATTCAAGCATCAAAGGACGATACTGAACTCCATGCACAAATACCAACCCAGGTTTCATTTGGTTAGGGCTAACGATATTTTAAAACTACCTTACTCAACGTTTCGGACGTATGTCTTCAAGGAAACGGAATTTATAGCAGTTACAGCATACCAAAATGAAAAGATTACTCAATTAAAAATAGACAATAACCCCTTCGCCAAAGGATTTCGAGATACAGGTTCCGTAAAAAGAGAAAAAAATTACAGACAGGCCATGCTGGCACAAAGACACTCAGATGACAAGACATCACATCCTCTTCTAGCTAGGATGTCTGCAGATATCAATATTGTTTCAAAAACTGATGACTCGGAATTGGATGTAGTTGATACTGCCGATAGTCCTAGGCCATATTTACATTCTTCTACTCATATAGCTTCATTTTTAAATCAATCAGATACCGAAGAAGACTCGATTCGAAGACGTCTTCATGACGACTCAGGTTCTGAAAATAGTTGTTCCGAATCACCAGGTAATACTGCGTTTCGCCCTCGACAATCGACGTCACCAAAAGATTCCGCAGGACCATTAAACCCATCAGAAGAATATCCCTCTCCTAATGGCAGCATCCTGCCAGAACCAGAACCTGACACATCCGATCCCACACGGTCACCATCTGTCTCCCACCTCACACGCATTCACAACCACCTAAAAGCAGGACACAGTTTTGCGCCATACACATTACCTCAACCACTGGAGTAACCTCACCTCTTGGCAGTGCTTTTGAGACTGTAACGCCTAGTTCCCACACCAGAAGCCTCAGCAATTCCCCATCGGGCAAAATACGAGCGGGTTCTCTATCGCCCCCTTTAAGGCCAAATACGACGTCGCCGAAACCGGAGGCGGCTACTTCTCCTAGTGATTTTGAAAGCATAGAAATAAGTAGTGACGTTAGGAAGCCATATAATTTGTTTTCCGTATTCCGTACTCTAGATGTCTACTCTTGGTAATTATCGAGTTAGGTTCTCAGATTTATTATTCACTCGTACTAAAATGGGTATCCACTTTAGTACAGTTTGATTTTTGACTCCTTGATGATAGTGCAACCAACACGTTTAGGATTGAGTTAACAGATACAGATGAAAGAAAGTTTTCAAATTCTTCTTCTTGTACAAGAAATTAAAAATTGTTCAAAGCGTCGGAAGAGCATTGAAAAGTATTAGTTTTTAGTTAAAGGTATCAAACATTTAGAAAAAGCACTGTGAAGCTTTCGAAAAGCTTTAAAAGTGGTTTAAAAATGTTGAAGAGCATTAAAAGCTGTTTAAAAAAAAATTTAAAGTTCTTAAAAACCATTTGCAATGTTTTTCTGTCGCTTTGAATGCTTTCACTCTAAACTATCGTTTTTTTTTTGTTGCCGAAACCTAACTTTAAACATGATGATTGCGGTTAGATCTATGGATTAAAACTCTAGTGAGCTATAGTGACTAGCTAATATTTTATTAACTTAAGAACCAATTTTACTGATTGAATCTATTATTCTGAGTATATGAAGAATCTCAAATATTTATTTCACAATTGTAATTTTAATACCAAATTATTTTCTTTAAATCCAAGATATATAACATAAAATATTGTTATCAAATCTGAGAACCTAATTTTACCTGAAACGACGTTTTATGTGGCAGTTGTAAACATAATGGACCTGTGATAGACCCTTGTGGAACTAAATTTCTTACATAGTCTATAGCGTCCTTTCAGGACAGAAAATATTTTCAAAATGGAGATACTCATTAATTCGGTTGTTGTTCAAGAATTTTTTACTGTGAATTTGCGGGTATCTCGTATACGGGGTGTTTTTGCAATAAAAGATAAACTAAAGCCATATTACAATTAGCTAACATATTATGACAAAATGAATGAATTATGACAGAATTTTAACAAATAACAAGAGCCAAAATAAAAAACACTTAAATAGTGGAATGTACAAACTTCAATGTGGCGACTGCCCAAAAACTTACATCGGTCAAACTGGTAGAAACTTTGATAAACGAATAGCAGAACATAAAAGGGCTTTCAAGAATAGAAAAACAGATTCGACATACGCACTTCACCTTCTAGATCATAATCAGTCTTTTAATGACAAATTTAAAATTCTTCACATTCAAAATAAAGGCCTTAAGCTATCTTTGTTAGAATCTATGGAAATCAACAAATTAAAAATCACAGATATAATTCTGAATGACCAACTTGAGACAAACAGTTCTCCCCTCCTCAACCTATTTCATTAGAGACTATAAATTTGTAAACCCAAGCCAAAAATAGATCACTTGAGAAAGGCAATCAGCCGAAACAGCTGTTGTGATAAGATTTAAAATAAATTTTGTGGAAGTTTGAAAACAAAGTTTTCAGTGTTTTATTGTTACAGAGAATGAATATACTCTTTAGACCATCTTTTCCAAAAGATCCCCCTTATCCTTTGAATTAACTGACAACGATTCAGACGGTTAATCTTTAAAGCGCTTAGATCTGGATCGGGAATTGAATCCACTAAGGGTTCAAAAATCAAAAAATGACCAGGAGTCAGTGCCTGCAAGTCATTAGGGTCAGAGCTTGCTGCACACAAAGGACGAGAGTTAAGAACTGCCTCGATTTGAGTCATAAGAGTATAGAACTCTTCATAAGTCAAAATTTGTGTACCCAAAACACGATACATATGGTTCTTGAATGATTTGACCCCAGCCTCGGCTAACCCATTAAAATGAGGGGCACCGGGCGGATTAAAATCCCAGGTAATAGAAAGAGTCTCAGCAGCAGATTGAGCTAGTTTAATGATTTCGTTGCTGGCTCCCTTAAAATTGGTACCTTGATCACTCCTAATGGTTAGGCACTTACCGCGTCAAGATACAAATCTACGAAAGGCAGCCAAAAAGGACTCAGAACTAAGATTTGAAGTTACTTCCAGATGAATGGCCTTTGTACTCGTACACAATACACAAACATATCCTTTGTATGTTTTGCATCTCTATGTTTGGACATTAATAACGAGAATGGTCCTGCAAAATCCACACAAACAGACAGGAAAGCACGTAACGGAGTAACTCGGACAGTTGGCAAGTTTGCCATAAAGGGGTTGTAAGATTTAGGTCGGCATCTAAAACAACGAATGCACTTCGACAAACAGCGATGAATGGCACTTTTCGGAGACAGAATCCAAAAGCGCTGAAGTAATAAATAATGCATAGCCTTTAAACCAGGGTGCAGATGCGTTTGATGAGTCCATTCGATGATTAAATCGGTCAGACGATGAGTTTTGATCTCATCATAATCTCTAAATGACTGTTCAGTGAATCTGAAGAGGCAGCATTGTTTTTTCTTTGAAGTTTAGCCACGAATTTTAAGACGTAAACCATGACTTTCTGAATTTTTATCAGAGACGAAAATTTTGAAAGTAAAGTAGAGATTATATTATCCGAAATGACCGGTATCAATGATAATACAGTGGGCAATTTTTCTTATAACATTTCCGTGGGGTGGAGAGAGTGAAAATTAACTTGAGAGGGCCAACACTCCCTTGACTTTGAAAGAAAATCAGGACCGCGCCACCAGAGTGAAAATTGTAGTAGTTGTGCCGGTGTCAAACCACGACTAGCACAATCAGCAGGGTTTTGATTAGATGGCACGTAATGCCAAGAAGAACATGGTATAAGTTCTTGTATGTGTCTTACCCGATTGGCAATAAAGGTTTTCCATTTATGCGGAGAAGAATTAACCCAAGTAAGAGCAATCGTGGAATCCGACCAAACATGAATATCGGAAAAAGAAAAGATATGCTTAAACGACTCTTTAATGAAGGCGACTAGATCCGCCAGCAATACAGCTGCCAACAGTTCCAATCTTGCAATAGATTGTGTCTTCAGAGGAGACACTCGACATTTAGCACACACAAGTACAGTCTCAAATGTGTCAGAAGTACTAAATCGGAAATATACAACGCTGGCGTATCCTAACTCTGAAGCATCGCAGAATCCATGAATCTCAACTTTAGAAGATTTATTAAAGCCGAAGTGTCGAGGGATTTGAATGTTCGCAAGGTCAGGTAACTCGATTTTAAACTGATGCCATACCTGTTGTATTTGTTCAGGTGGTTCATCATCCCAAGATACATTGGATTGCCACAACTGTTGCAGCAGACGTTTGGCCCTTAAAAGACACGGGGAGATGAAACCAAGAGGATCAAAAATACGACTGATTTCCGAAAGAATAGCCCGCTTTGTACAAGTTTTGTCAAGGGGACAGTAAGAATAAGAAAAGGTCAGTCGACGGGTCCATTTCAGGCCTAGCACCTTAATAACGGAAGGTTCCTCTTTGTCAAACGAACAAGATGTCAGAATATCAGAACCAAAATCTTGGAGTAGACTGAGATAGTTGCTGGCCTATTTGCCTAGCTCAAAACCACCGAGCTTTAAAAGTTGAATGAGCTCTAACTGTAGCGAGTGGGTAGATGACAGAGAATCACTTCCTAATAGACCGTCGTCAATATAAAAATGTCGCGTTAAAGCTTGTGAAGCATTAGGGAAACGAGACTCTGCCAACACAGCTAACTATTGTAAAGTTTTTAATGCGAGATAAGGTGAAGAAGAAACACCGTAACTAACAGTACGTAAAAAGTACTCTTGAAGAGGTTTAGAAGAATCCGACCTCCAGAGAATTCTTTGATAATTCCAAAATTCTTTGTTTACGTTAATTTGTCGATACATTTGCTTTATATCGCATGTGAAGCAGTAACGAAAATATCGAAAATTGAGTAAAAGCGAAGAGATGTCCTTTTGAAGCTTAGGACCTGTATATAAGGTATCATTGAGAGACACACCTCGAACGTCACGTAGACTGGCGTCGAAGACTACACGAATTTTGGAAACAAGAGACGAATTAACAATTTGTTTTTTGAAAACTGCGCGATGAGCAAAATAATAAGAGGTAGGCGATTTAAAATCGGATTCAGGAACCGGGACCATATGTTGGGAAGTAATATAGTCCTTCATGAACTCAACATATTTCTCTTTAAGATCCGGAATTTTCTTAAAACGATTCGCTAATATGCAAAAACGACGATATGCTTGAGAATAAGTATCGCAAAAGACAGGATTGGGTTGTCGAAACGGTAGAGGAACAGAAAATCTGCCTGTTGACTCTCAGAAAGTAAATGCCTTGTAAATATCCTCACAAACTTGATCGTCCTGGGACAAAATGGCAGGTTTAGAAACCATTGTCAGTTATGTGCTACAAGGGCGAGTCTCTACGGCCCTTTTAAATTGTAATTTTACCTCTTTACATACGTCTATGGATACAAACATAGATATTTTGGAGAATTTTGGAAAGTCGAAAACTCAATATGATGGAACAATGGAGACAATTTAAAAACAAGGACAACAATAAATACAAAGAGAAAAACCACGAGATCAGGAAGATGATAAAGCAGGCAAAAGAAAAATACTTTGAAGAGCAATGCAAAGAGATCGAAGACCTTCAAAATAAATATGATCTGTTTAACCTACACAAGAAAGTTAAAGAACTGGCAGGACTAAGAAAACAAAATACCACTCGTGCAATTCTGGATAGACACAGGACTACTATAACACATACGGACGAGAAAGTACAAAGATGGGCAGAATATATCGACGAATTGTTCGATGATGAAAGAGGAGATCTGGAGCACATAGAACTTACGTCAGAAGAAATAGGTCCATGTATTACAAAAGAAG